GATCTTGCTAGCAGAGCAGGAGAGGGCCTCATGCTGCCTCAGCCTCTTGCCAGCATTTTCGATTAGCCAACATTCTGCATGTTGCCAATCTGATAAGGAAAATGGTTTCGCCTTGCAGCCCCTGCACTTCTTTCATTATGAGGGCAAGTATTTTCCATATACTTATGCATGCGCTGTTTGGTTTCTTTTGCTGTAGCTCGAATCCCCTGTTCTTTGCCGATCTTTCTGTTGACTGTAGCGTTATCCATTTGCTTTTCACGTTAGAGAAGTGAGCTTATTGTCTGTGATGCTGTGATTGTGCTCTTTCTGTCAACTTTGGTTTTTAGCTGGCGTTGTGGGGATTAATATTATTATGATTTAAAAAATGTTTTTGTCCCCAGGGCTTCATCTCTTTGTAGTCAAATTTATGTCTTTAAGTTGTGAAATCATTATTACGAGTTTTTTTACTATGCAGAATTTTATTTCTGTCTAGTTAAATTTAGCCAGATTTATTGTTCTTTTAACCTATGATAGCCTTATGGAGTCTGAGCCTCAAACCCGAGTTCCTTCCAGTGGATGTCTGCCTGTTTTTAAGCAAACCGCACTTAAGCACAAGTCAGTGGAATAGCGAGTGAGCAGCCCGTGTGGCCCACAAGTGCCTGTCACATCTACCGTGGGATGACCGTACCCATAAGCACAGGAGATGGGGATAAGGGAATCGGCAACAATACTGTCTGGAAATCCACAGAAACCTTCCTCTCCATCACCAGAAAAGCCAGCCTGCCTATTCATGCCATGAGTACTGCAGTAAGAGCAGGGCCACAGCTTCAACAAGGATTAATCCAAAATTTGCAACTTTGGGAAGGGGAGAGGAAGGAAGTGAGGAAGGGAGAGAAGGAGGGAGGGAGGGAGAAAGAGAGGGAAGGAGGAGGAAGGAAGGAAGAAACATGGACATAGGCAGCATGCCAGCATTTATAAGGGGGTTAGAGGCCTTCATGGTGGCTCTGCGCTCCATTACAGACACAGCTTGCATAGCAAACAGAGACAGATGCCTGGAAGTGGTGACACTGGAGCCCAAGAGTGGGTCCCTAGGAGCCTGGGCTGAGGAAGTAGCCCAGAGAGGGTCACCTGAGCTGGCGGGTGGCTCTTTTCTTTAGGGGAGCGCTGGGAACACGCTGCTTCTGCCTGTCATTCTCTAATTTTTATTTTTATTTTTCAGTTCTGAGGTTGGAACGGTGGGTCTAGTGCTGGTTAGGCAAGTGTTTAGCCAAGGAATTTTATCTCCAATCCTTTCTCCTGCCCTCCCTCCTCCTCCCCCCTCTCTGTTCTCTCTCTCTCTCTCACTCTCTCTCTCTCTCTGTTCTCTCTCTCTCTCACTCTCTCTCTCACTCTCTCTTTCTCTCTCTCTCCCTCTCTGTTCTCTCTCTCTCTCACTCACTC